CGAAGTCCAGCGTGAGTGTCTGCCTGCTGTTGTTGTTGATGTTGTTGTCATCTGCGCATCTTGCACTTTGGTCTTGCACGTGTAATGGCTTGTGGTCTAAGCACTACCTTACAACCCTCTAATTAACAGCCCGTAACAATCCGAGAAGAGTGGAAAAAGAGGCGACAGAGGGCACGACCGTTTATTAGCGTCACGCCAGCCAAGTGTCTTAGTGTGTGTATGAGTGAATGGGTGACAGGGATCTTATGCAGTAACCAATGAAAAGGGATGAGTCATTGCCACCGTCAGGTCGGTAACCAGGGTTCACTCAGGCGCGATCGCTGTTAATCATCTACACACGTCTGCTTTCTTTTATGCTTCCTGTCTGTGCGTCCAGAAACACAACGTCAGTGACGTGCAATGTTAGAGGTTGAAGATGCGTAGTAAAACGGAAGAGTCGTGTTATGTTTCCGTGATGCAGCCTTAATCGGATTTGCAAGGCTTTTCATGATTGCAACCTCAACCGAGCCGCTGATAGCTTGGTTTGCTTGAGACGACAGCCAGCCACTGGGTGTAAGACGCGTTTTTTAATGTGGTTGTGGTGTAATCAACTGACAATTTGCACATTCATGCCTTTCGACGTTCTTGCGTTTATTTCAGGGCATAGATTGGAAGTGCGTGCGCTATATGCTCTCGGAGATTCAATTCGGTGGACGCATCACTGACCCCGAGGACATGGTCATTATGGTGACCCTGACGCGACACATGTTCAAGGAGTACATGTTCCAGCAGGACTTTGAACTAATTCCGGGCTACATTATTCCGCATCTCTCCACAGTGAACCAGTTCCTCGGGTTCGTTAACTCCCTGCCGACACACGAATCCCCCGAATCCATCCACCTCCACCCCAATGCTGAAATCGCGTAAGTGTGCGACTCGTCATGTCCTGGCTTCTGTTAGCACCTAGTCTGTGACGCGTCGCTTTCGTCAACCTTGCAGCTACTTAACGCAGGTTTCGGAGAACATGATGGCAAATATCCTGGCGACCGCGCCACCAGACACCATCGAGGACATCGATGAAGCCGTCGACGTCTACGAAGCCGACGCGCCAGCGACGGGGCCCACAAAGGAGATGCAGATACGCGAGTTGTGCACCTCGATGCTGTCACGTCTGCCACCGCTCTACAACCCCTTCACCATACCGGAGCGCCTCAGGGCCCTCGGCAACCTCAAGCCGAGCGTCATTTTCCTCCGGCAGGAGGTACAACGCATCTCCAAATTGCTCGATATCACACAAAGCGTGCTTAAGGATCTGGTCGATGCCATCGACGGCAAGATCATCGTGAATGAGGGCCTGCGCGAAGCGATGGATTCGATATACTTTGCCAAGGTGCCGCCCATCTGGCACAGGGTGAGAGTTGAT